TCACCAAAACAGTCTCACCCGATAAATAAGTGGCGTAGGCCGCAAACAGAACTGCTGTCACACACGAGTTGTATGTACATGTGCGTGTCGACTACAATATGTGCCGAAAAGTCGGCGAAAACGCGGCGGAATGGGGGTGATGTCGGGAAGCTCAGGGATCATTCAAGGATTGTTCAAGGCACTGACGACGCCCCACGAGTTCCAATGCCGCCGCTCCTCAGCAAGGAGGCAAGTACTGCTTCATATACTGCAGCAACAATACAGTTTATTTCAAAGTTGTTTGTTGAGCGCATGGGACGGGTGGTACAGCGCCCCTACTACTGCTGTGGCTCGTGACGAAAGGTGGAGATGACTAGACGAGACTACAGTCTAGACTGCTTGACTATTGGTCTACACATATGTACATGTACAAAGGCTAGAGTAGATGGCCGACAGCTTCGACAGTGAAACAGCTCGCCCTTTCTTGCTTGTGAGGTACGAAGAATGGGCTTCACACGTGGTCTATGCACCTACAAGTCGACGAAGCTTTCCTCCCTCGCCTCTCTGCCGTGCAGAAGGTGGCGCTTCGCACGAGAAGGAGGGAGATCAAGAAGTGGACGATTGTCGTTATCCCCACTCTGGCGCCGCTAGAACGAACAATGAGGCCGACGTAAGAAAGTGTGTCTAGAGGATTGGATGTCGAATTTTTCTTCAGCACGGGCGGTGGGTTAATGATTCGGCAGCGGTTTCGTCGGATTTTTTCAGTTGCGCCGCGGCGTTCCCTCTCAGCAACCAGCAACCTGTGCCCCGGCGGGGCACGCCTACGGCCTGCAAGGATCTTTTCGACCCGGAAGGCTCGTTTCTCCTTTCCTCTCTATCCACCCGTGGCAGGTCATACTTGGATATATGCACATGCATATGTACATCATACGGCGTGCAGTGACAACCAAACAATGTTGTGGATCCGATGCCCTTGGCTCTCGACTGATTGCGTGTCTGTTTTTGTCCATCACCTGTTGGAGCACAACAACGATCAGCCTCGTGCCTTTGTGCGGTCACGCAGAGTTGGCCGTGCACGCGTCCTCACCTCTCTCCGACACATGTACAGATACATATGCCAACCAACGTGGACCTGCTGTCACCCATCACGGCCTCGCACGGCGGTCTCTCTGTCTCACTACTGACTACAGAGAGCATGATGCTCTGAGCCCACCCACAAGGGGAGGGTCGCCTTTACGAGAGACAAATGCACCAGCTGGCATGCTGCAACCGTTGCGACATTTCGACGGCTTCAACTCCCGGCCGCACCTGAAACCAAGCTTCGAATTTCCGCCGTGCCTGTGGGGCCTCGAGCAGTTGTAGGTGGCCGCGAAGCACATTCTGCCACGGAGAATGAAACAGGCGAAGAGCACCCGCGCTTGCTTGCGAAAGTTGTGCACGGATGAAAAAGTCGACTACTCAGCAACAACGCCGCCTCGTTGTGCGGTCGTTCACGCTTAGCCAGACTCGTTGCTGCTGTGTAGAGATTAAGCGGGGGAGAATCCACTCACACGTATACGTTCGACCGTTGTCTCTGCGGGGCACTTCCTGCTGCGTGATGACATCCCGTATTATATATATTGGGGGTACTCGTAGCATAGTATGACGGGTAAGATCTTCAGTACGTACGTGCGGAAACTGCAGTGAAGAGATGCGGAGGAATCAGGGATCCGTTTGGTAGTTTGAGCGTGATGAGCGTGACGCGTGCTTGATGCCGTGACCGATTTACGAGCACGAGCACGCCCCCGAAGAATACAATACGTTTGTTTTCCTATACGTCCCTCCCCTACCACGGCCCAGCTGCTCTACACTCCCAACACACAGAACTGAGCCACCCGAATTATCGATCAGATCCCTTCCTAGCCATCTATAAATTGTCTAGACTACTCTAGTGCAGTAGTAGTCTAGAGCAAATAGCACGAGTGGAAGTAATGTAGTGAGTTTTCGATTGGTAAAGGCTTACCCATTAGACTACTCAGTCAGCGCTGACAGAGTAGTCTAATGGGTAAGCCTTTATCTACCAAAAGATACTGCAAGATAAATTTATTTATGTATGTACCATAGATGTATGGACTAGACTAATACAGCAGTGTCACATAGAGAGCAAGTATAAACACTGTGCCGAACTGGACCCCTTGCTTGACTTGTCCCCCCCCCCGGCACTTCGCGCTTCGTGATGTGAGAGCCTGGTCCGGTGAGAACCCGGCGTGCTCCGTCCCGGCTTTGTAGGGATGCGAGGTCAATGGTGGTCTGATGACTACGGCATGCACAACTATGAGTAGACTACATCCCCCCACCCCCCCGGCACTTCACCATTGCACCCGCGAGCGATGACGCCCATTTGCTGGCTCGGTGGCCCGCTTTGTGGTGTGCTGTTTTGTGTTGTGTTGTGTTGTGTTGTTTTGTTTGTCGCTGCGACGGGTAAATATCTTTGTCTTTCTCATCTCTTTCCCTTCTATCTGCTCCCTGGTGCCTTTTGTTTCTGTTTCTGTGTCTGTTTCTTTTTCTGTTTTTTTTTTTTCTGTTTCTTCCGATTTCTAACCTAGGGTTACCTCGCATAGCGTGTAGAGGCGAGCGGAGTGCCCTAGACTACCTGTCGTTGGCTTTTATTGGCGTGCGAACCCTTCGGGTCCATTTTATTTTCGTATACCTTTTTTTTTGATAAGTTAGCCTGTGACCACGGGAATCGACCCCGTCAAGTGTTAGACTAGACTACAGTACGGACAGAAGAAGGTACCGGGCAGAGAGAACGGAACGAACAGTTTTTAACGTGAAGACAAAGACAACAACAACAACAAACAAAACAACATTAGACTGTGTTGGCCGGAGGAATCCAAAAGCACACACGAAACACGTGAGAAAACGAACGAACGCACACGATTTGCCCCCAAGATGAAAAATAACGAGCGATAACAGCAGCGCAACACCCCCCTTCACGCGTCCTTGCCTCACCTGGAACAGAACTTGAGCAAGCTCCGTCGTAGTCTAGAACTGTCACACACGAGTTGTATGTACATGTGCGTGTAGACTACAATATGTGCCGAAAAGTCGGCGAAAAAGCGGCGGAATGGGGGTATGTCGGGAAGGTCAGGGACCATTCAAGGATTGTTCAAGGCACTGATGACGCCCCACGAGTTCCAATGCCGCCGCTCCTCAGCAAGGAGGCAAGTACTGCTTCATATACTGCAGCAACAATACAGTTTATTTCAAAGTTGTTTGTTGAGCGCATGGGACGGGTGGTACAGCGCCCCTACTACTGTGGCTCGTGACGAAAGGTGGAAACTTGACGAGACTACACGTACAGTATGTACATGTACAGGCTAGAGTAGATGGCCGACAGCTTTGACAGTGAAACAGCTCTCCCTTTCTTCCTTGTGAGGCGTAGAATAGACTAAGAAGAATGGGCTTCACACGTAGTCTACGCACCTACAAGTCGACGAAGCTTTCCTCCCTCGCTTCTCTGCCGTGCAGAAGGTGGCGCTTCGCAGATGGAGGAGGGAGATCAAGAAGTGGACGATTGTCGTTATCCCCACTCTGGCGCCGCTAGAACGAACAATGAGGCCGACGAAAGAAAGTGTGCCTGGAGGAATGGATGTCGAATTTTTCTTCAGCACGGGCGGTGATTCGGCAGCGGTTTCGTCGAGTTTTTGCTTCGCGGCGTTCCCTCTCAGCAACCCTGTGCCCCGGCGGGGCACGCCTACGGCCTGCAAGGATCTTTTCGACCCGGAAGGCTCGTTTCTCCTTTCCTCTCTATCCACCCGTGGCAGGTCATACTTGGATATATGCACATGCATATGTACATCATACGGCGTGCAGTGACAACCAAACAATGTTGTGGATCCGATGCCCTTGGCTCTCTCGACTATTGCGTGTCTGTTTTCGTCCATCATCTGTTGGAGCACAACGATCAGCCTCGAGCCTTCGTGCGGTCACGCAGAGTTGGCCGTGCACGCGTCCTCACCTCTCTCCGACACATGTACAGATACATATGCCAACCAACGTGGACCTGCTGTCACCCATCGCGGCCTCGCACGGCGGTCTCTCTGTCTCACTACTGACTACAGAGAGCATGATGCTCTGAGCCCACCCACAAGGGGAGGGTCGCCTTTACGAGAGACAAATGCACCAGCTGGCATGCTGCAACCGTTGCGACATTTCGACGGCTTCAACTCCCGGCCGCACCTGAAACCAAGCTTCGAATTTCCGCCGTGCCTGTGGGGCCTCGAGCAGTTGTAGGTGGCCGCGAAGCACATTCTGCCACGGAGAATGAAACAGGCGAAGAGCACCCGCGCTTGCGAAAGTTGTGCACGGATGAAAAAGTCGACTACTCAGCAACAACGCCGCCTCGTTGTGCGGTCGTTCACGCTTAGCCACACTCATTGCTGCTGTGTAGAGATTAAGCGGGGGAAGAATCCACTCGCACGTATACGTTCGACCGGTGTCTCTGCGGGGCACTTCCTGCTGCGTGATGGCATCCCGTTCTTTCGCGCAACAGACCGCCTCTGGCCTGTCCGTGCAGATGGTAACATCCTCCGTGTGCAGGAATGGGTCGTCTTCGACAATGTCGAAGACATTGTCAATAACAACATATTCGCCTGATTGAGAGCGTAGCATCTGATTGAGAGCGAGATTGCGCGATACGCTGTAGCCGGACTACCACTGAGAGGTGGAGCTTGCTGTGTAGCTTGAATTGAAGGGCTAGCCCGTAGCTTCAAGCCGCTACCCTGGTCATCCTGTGGGAGTCTCTCGTTGTGGAGCTACAGCGGGGAGCAGAAGCTTCAGCAGAGCCCACCGCCCGACGCGATACCGCCCTGAAACAGTTTGAGCAGAACATGCACTTCTTTCCTTTCGAACACGAATCCTGACAAGTGGATGTTCTTCCTGATGATTTCACGACAGACTTCAACGCTGCTTCCAACTGCGGTCGGCATAGGCCGACGTGGGACAGAAATGGATGCCAGGCATGCCGTCCGGCGTTGCTCATGTCACGCTATGTCTACGACATTTGCGAATACCATCACGATGTTGGCATTTGTGCTGCTAACGCTGTTGTGTGCCGCCTCGCATCCCACTTGGTGCTCGCCCTACCTGTCTTGTCAGCCTGCAAAAATTCGGATTCTCCCTACTCCGTCGACATCAGAGATTACGCATCGGACGGAAGCCGGGGTATTTATGGCTCCGATACCACCACCGACACCGAATCTGCGGACTACCTGACGACACCGACAACCACGTGCATAACCGACACCATGTACACCTCGATGACGACGAGCGAGGCCGAATGCGCCATCGAAGTGGAGGCTTGCAACGATGACACGGAGTGTGTAGACTGCGCCACGTCGTATGCTGCACTCGTGGAGGGATGCCTTGAGTCAGTGGGTGGTGCCACCTGCGACTATCTTGAATAGCTGTGTGCTGTGCGGTGGATGGCTTTGAGGGCAACGATGCGCTCAATGACCTCTTAGGGGCGTTCCCTGGTTGTTCCCGCGGAAGTCGCTCGGTGCGTGTTAAGCATGACCGCGTATGACCGGGGCTTGTATGGAAACCTCGACCTCTGCACGTGATTGTGACAAAATTTGTGCGATAGGCAGGCCAAGGCCGGCAACCAACATGTGCCAGAAATGAATGCCAGTCGTAGCTCCCCTTATCCCGGCCGGCGTTGTTCATGTCCGTCTACGACGGTTGCGAATACCATCATGCTTCACCGTATTTGTTGCTAACGCTGTTGTGTACCTGTTCGTGGGTCTGCAAACATTGGTGTTGGATACATGTGCTGGATGATTTGGTGTCACGCAGACTGGTAAGATTGCCGTTTGGTAGGGGGCACCGCGATGATTCACGGGGCCCCTCCTTGCTGTGGGAGCCGCTCTTTGAGAACTCCCTCTTTCGTCCGTTTGAAGGACGGTCGTCTACCTCTCGTGAAGTCAATACATCACCAAACAGTCTCACCCGATAAATCAGTGGCGCAGGCCGCAAACACTCCAGAGATTTGCCCCTCGAGGGAAGCCACATCGGGATGAGCTCTGCCGGAGATGAAGAGCGCACTGCTGCGAGCGGAGAACAGATCCGCCCGCCGGTGCAGGAGGGAAGCGATGGGGAGCTTGCAAGTTTGCAACTGCAGGTCTCACGATTGGCGGCCCTGGTGGAGGAGTCGATGAAGAAGAAAGCGCCTGGCAGCGTCGCGGCGGATGCAGCCAGTAGGGACAGCTGGGTTGCTGCCCCCTAAGGTCAACAAGAGCCCCTGCAGCCGCACGGCGGAGGCGGGGGATTTCTCCAGCAGCAAGCGAGAGATGGCGGGCAAGGACCACGGCAGCTGCTGGAAGGCGGCTGGGCCAGCAGATCGGGAGCGAATCCTGCGAGACCAGCCGGAGTGAGCCCGGGCATAGGACCGGACTACGGGGAAGCGAGGGGGTTAAACCCACCATGTGAGATACCCGTGATTCGAGGAAATGGAGAATTCCTCGACGGCTACAGCCACGTGAAGAGAGTAACAGTCAATGCCCCGCATCTCGAAGGGGAGAGTCGCGGCCATGGGTATGACTCGTGGAGAAAGTCGCTTATCCAAGCGGCCAAGACTGTAAACTGGACGGCCAATTGATCGGCAACAACGGGACACATTCACCTGTCTGCAACCCAAACGTGCCAAGCTCGGAGCTGTACCGCCTCCAATACACCAGCGACGAGGTCCAGAGGGGCCTCCAAGCGCTCCATTTTGTGACCACTACCATCGACAGAGAAGTCGACAAGGCGATCGTGAACAACCGACCGCAAAAGAGATCCTAGCGGAACTCGACAAAACTACGATCCGGAATCGCAGGGCTCGAAACAAGCCCTCATGAAGAAAATGGTCAACTTCACGATCCCCACACACAGCAGCAGAAACCCCATGGAGCACCTTAACTCGCTCGAGCTGCTGTACTCACGCCTGCGCGAAAAAGGGCTCAATGCTGAACAACCCTTCGTTCTCGCCCACTTCGTTGGTTCCCTCCCACCCGAGTACCAACAAGCGAAGTTCCTGTTGGAGACAGCAACGGCGCTGGATAGGGCCGAGATCGTCAGGATCGTGAGCACGGTGCACGCAAGCCTTCCGGAGGGGAGGAAGGCCTCGAAGGGCCAGCGGAGGGCGGAGCACGCTCTCCTCGCGAGCGACGGTAGTGGTGGGGAAGGAGCGCCGGGCCGCGGCAACGGCGGCTGCCCCAAGGGTGGTGGTGGCGGCAGCGGCGGCGGCAACCAGAAGGGAAGAGGGGGTGGCGCGAAGGCTGGAGGCGGCAGCGGAGGCGGCGACGACGATGCGGGTAGCATGCGCGGTCGCTGTTTCCGGTGCGGCAAGAAGGGCCACCAGGTGGCAGACTGCACCGAGAGCAAGCCCGTGCGATGTGAGACATGCAAGGGCTACGGACACGACAAGAGCAAGTGCCCGACCGAGGGGGCAGTGCTTGTGGTGGAAGCGCCGGCGGGGGGGGCGTCTGCGGACGCCACAGCACTGGACGTGGCAGAAGAAGCGCTGGTGGTCGGTGACATCTCAGGCGAGTGTCACAAAGTCGTTGGTCGAGGGGGTGTAGAGCAGGCTAGGCGGGGTAGGTATGTTGCCGATACCGGCGCTACCACCCACATGTTCGCGAACTCAGATGGGTTCGTTCGTTTCGAAGAGTGTGATCGACGTGTGCGCGTCGCCGCCGGGGAAACCTTTTTCCCCATCGTGGGGTACGGCGACGTGAGGATGACCCTTAGCTCGCGCGACTGCACAACCGACCTGTTGTTGAAACGGGTTGCACACGTTCCCCGAGTATATTACAACCTAGTACCTCGCACTTCCCTCTTCGACGATGGGTCCGAAACCAAAACCCTCAATAAAAACGAGTTGGAATTGGAGAGAGGGGGGGGGGAGGGGGTGTACTTCCCCCGATGCGGTAACCTGTACGTCCAAAACGGTTTCCGCACACACACCGAACATTCCCATGCCGCAATTGCTCCTGGCAACGCGAAAGCGCCCAGCGCCCCCGTTGACATCAACGATTTCCACTGCGCGCACGGCCACTCCCACGAGGTGCTGCTGAGGACCACGGCAAAGCAGCAGGGGACGAAGCTGGTGGGCGAGCTCCGGGAGTGCCTGGGATGCTCGACGGCGAAGGGGATTTCCAAGCCAATCCCCAACAAGACGTCGACCCGAGCAGCTAAGAAACTGCAGCGAGTTTTCGTGGATTTGAGTGGAAAATCTATAGGGTGTAGAGCTTGGGGGGGAAGTGGTGCACTCTCGTTGTCAAGGATGCTTACACAAGGTGGAACTGTGTCTACTTCCTGAAGCACAAATCAGACGCAGCTGAGGCATTCGAGAGGTACCTTGCAGAAAACCGGGCACACGGTGCCCCGTCCGATGTAATGGTCGTGAGATCTGACAACGTACGAGAGGTTTTTGAGGGAGAGTTCGGCAGGGTGTGCCGGAAGTACTGCATCAAACAGGAGTTCACCCACGCACACAGCTTAGAATACAATGGTGTAGCTGAGAGAGCACTGAATCTGATCAAGGATGCAGCACTAGCCGCCCGTATCCAAGCGCCAACTCTTTACCCCGGAGCACCGAACTACCCATCCCTTTGGGCCGAGGCCATAGCTTGGTCATGCAACGCCCTGAACTGCACCTCCACCACATCCAACCCAGAGAAGAAGTCGCCGTACGAGATGTGGCACGGGCACCCTCCCCCGCCGGGGGCGACGTACCCGTTCCTCAAACCTGCCGTATACAAGGTCAAGCGCACACACAAGTCCGAGCCAAAAGCCCAAAAGTGTTTTTACCTCGGCCCGGGAATCAACACCAACNCGTGCACGCACAAGTCCGAGCCGAAAGCCCAAAAGTGTTTTTATCTCCGCCCGGGAATCAACACCAACCGTGATTGCGTGCGCATCTTGAACGAAAAACGCCGAGCGATCACAACTCGCAACTTCACCTGGCAATCCGTGCCCGCCGCCCCCGCCGCCCTNCCGCCCGGGAATCAACACCAACCGTGATTGCGTGCGCATCTTGAACGAAAAACGCCAAGCGATCACAACTCGCAACTTCACCTGGCAATCCGTACCCGCTGCCCCCACCGCCCTGCCTCAGTCGCTGCCTCCCATCGCAGAGAAGGAAGAGGAATTCGCGACTGGGAAGGACGAGGTTGGGGAGGGCGCGTCGAGCCAAGGAGGGAGGGCGGAGGGAGAACCTGTGGATGGAGGACCAGGTTTCAACCTTGGCACGACGGCAGCCCCGGGGCCCGCGGGGCCGGCCGCGCCCCAGGAGTCGGGCGCGGGCAACGCTGGTGATGGCGCCCCCTCGAGCAGGGAGGGCGCGAGCGTCGCCCCATCTACCACGTCGACCGGCACGGCCGATGTGGGCGGCGGCGAGGGCGACCGCCGCCGCAGCAGCAGCCGTGGTAGCGGCGGCAGCGGCAGAGATAGCAGCAGCGGCGGCAGCAGCGGCGATGACGGCGGTAGCGACAGCAGCAGCGGCAGCGACAGCGAGACGGACCTCCCGGCGCTCAGTGGGCCAGAAGCCCGGCGGCTCGCCCGCTTCGTCAAGCCGGCGGAACCAACCAGCCGCCGCACCAGGGGCAACCCTCGCCGAAACCCGAGGTACGAGTCGCCCCGGTCGCCGACAAGTGCCGAAGCCCTGCTCGCCTCGGCAGCGAGCCTGCCCGTCAGCAGCACGGAGGAGTTCACCAGCTGGATGCTCCCGGCGGTACTTCACGTGGCGGAAGGGCTAGAGGCGAGGGCGGTGCGAGAGTTGCTGTTCGAGCGCGCGGAAGTGGCCCACGCTGCGCGCCAAGAGGAGGAGGACTTCCTACTGGTTGCGGTGGACTTCATGCTCAACTCGCCAGATGCCTTCGAGACGGCTCTGGCGTCCCACGAGCTAAGTGAATTCCCCATAGGACCGAAGCGAGATGACGAGAAGGGAGGGGAGTGGCCGGTGAGGGAGGCCATCGGCAGCATGATGTGGCTGTCGACGCTCTCGCGTCCAGACGTCTCGTGGTAGGGGGGTTTTCGAGGGGTTTTGCCCGGACGCCGGGTTTCCCCTCCATATATTACCATGTTGGTATTTTCTGATGTATCCAGGGGCGTTCTTGCCCCATTGATGGTTAGTCATTTGTGTGAAGAACCAGGGAGGGTGTTCGTGGGTCTGCGAACATTGCTGTTGGATACATGTGCTGGATGATTTGGTGCCACGCAGACTTGTAAGATTGCCGTTTGGTAGGGGGCAACGCGATGATTAACGGGCCCCCTCCTTGCTGTGGGAGCCTCTCTTTGAGAGCTCCCTCTTTCGTCCGTTTGAAGGACGGTTGTCTTCCTCTCATGAAGTCAATACATCACCAAACAGTCTCACCCGATAAATCAGTGGCGAAGGCCGCAAACACTGCCCCCTTGCAACACATATGGTTCTCGCGCGCTACCCGTCAGCCTGCGTCAGTGCGGATACTGGTTGCTCCGTCGACATCGGAGATTGCGCAACGGCCGGAAGCGTGGCCATTTCTGGCTCCGATACCACAACCGACACCGATTCCACGGGCTACCTGACCTCATCGGCCACCACATCCACAACCGACACGGGATTCCCAATCGATACCACCACCAACTCCACTTACACCTCGATGACGACGAGCGAATGCGCCATCGAATTAGAGGCTTGTAAAGCGGATGGCGAGTGCATCGTATGCACCCAGTCGTACGTTGACACCATGGATGGGTGCTTTGCTTCAGCGACTGGCTCCATTTGCGACGATCTTGAAGGAGCTGTGTGCTGTGCGGTGGATGGCTGCGAGGACATCGATGCGCTCAATGACCACTTAGGTGCGTTCCCTGGTTGTGTCTACGGAATATTTGGGAGTGTTGATGTTGACCGAATATGCCAGGATCGGAACTATGCAAGTCATTGTGACATGGTATTGCCACCAGCGGTCGGCATAGACCGAGGTGGACCAGAAGTTGATGCCAGTTGTAGCTCCCCTCAACCCGGTCGGCGTTACTCATGTCTCGCTACGTCTACGACGGTTGCGAATTGTTAGTACTACAGTAACACCGTTGTTTGTCCCCTCGCAAAACCCTTAGTTTTCGCGCGCTACCTGTCTTGTCAGCCTGCATCAATGCGGATTCTACTTGCTTCATCGACATTGGAGATTGCGCAATGGACGGAAGCGCGGCCATTTTTATCTCCGATACCACCACCGACACCAATTCCGCAGGTTACCTGACGACACCGACCACCACATCCACAACCGACACCGGACCCCCCATCGACACCACCACCGACTCCATTTACAAGTCGATGACGGCGAGCGAGACCGAACGCGCCATCGAAATTTCGGCTTGCAACGAGGATGACGAGTGAGTAGGCTGCGCCGAGTCGTGCGTTATATTCCCGGAGGGATGCCTTGAGTCAGCGGCTGGTAACACCTGCGACGATCTTGAAGGAGTTGGGTGCTGCACGGTGGATGACTGCGAGGACAACGATGCGCTGAATGACCTCTTGGGTGCGTTCCTGGTTGTCTTGTGTCTGCGGAAACCGCTACGTGTGGGAGCTTACTCAGATGCGTGAATGTGGCAATAATTTGTGACCGGCCGGCGACCAATATGTGTCAGCAATGAATTCCAGTGGTACCCTCGGGTATCCCGGTACAATGTGTGGGACCGTTTCGAGTACCGTCATGTTAATACCATTTTTCTACGAACGCTGCGGTGTGTCCCCTCGCATTATATGAAGTCTTCGGTGTGGATGATTCGACTTGGGTATGCTGTGGAAAACCGTGCGTCACGGTGGTGTGGCAGGCCTTGACTCCGCACCCCCGCTTGCGTGGACAACGAATTGCTGCAGGGTGTCTGGGTTCTGGCATATATTGCGACGGATGGCGAATTCTCTCGCACATGTAAAGACGCTGCAGAGGAAGTTATATCCACATTACATCCCGCAGATGTCTTGCAGTGAGATTTACAAGGACGCTGACGATCCTGACTCTATCCTGTATCCAGATCTCGACGCCGCGATGACTATTACCTGCTGCTGTGACTCTCCAACCCCGGCGCCGACTACTACACCCGCCCCCACACTCGGCCTAACCGCACCTATTTCCGCACTTTCAAGCCCTTCGCCTGCGTTGGTGACGGAAACATCTTCCGGAGAAGGTCAGCAGCTGATACTGTAGTCCGTGCGCGTCGTTTTCTTTTTCCGGGCAGGATGAGTTTGCATCGTACAAAGTACTGGGTGGTACGAAATGAGTCTGACCCTTGCCTGGAGGTCAAAGCGAGGGCCAGACCCGCCCATTCTTCTAGCTTCCCCTTGTGCACCACATTTCGAATTAAACGTTAATTCCTTTTGTCGCGGTTTCGACTTGTTCCGTTAACTCTGCCATTGTAGCGACTCCGATGGGGGTCACTGCTGGAGGCATGCTGGCGGGCGTAGTGGTAGTTAGCCCCGTTGTCCTGGCTGTCCTCTTCAAGACTACTGGTCGTTGGAAGACCTGCCGCGGGGGCTCGCGAAACACACCTGCTGACGACGTTGTCGCGCCGGCTTCTGCTAGCAGCTCGGTGCCTACACAAGGGATGCGGGATGAGGCCACCACGGCCCCCACTGCGCGTCAATATCCCGTTGCCTACCAGCACCCGGCGGCGGTATTACTCGAGTTACGGGTCGTGCGACGCGAGGACTACTCTGCTCTCAGTTTTCGCTGACAAAGGAAATCTGTTCTCCTTGGCCTGCGGCTTATGCAGACCGCCGTCGCTGGATCAGGAGTTCCACCCGCTACATTAGCAGGGACGCCTTCGTGCGGTGCCCGATAGTGTGAATGGTACGGCAAAAGGGGGTCGAATTGACTCATTTGGTTTTGTCGTTCGCTCAAGTGGGTGTTGGCTTTGAATCTGCCAAAGCGGGGCACGCCATTTCGTTGGGTGGATTATTGTTCATTAGTGACAACTCCAAGATTTTGCATCTACTCGGGTGTATGGATACGTCAGCGTGTGTGCCCTGGAGTCCATGTGTTTCGGCCGTCACTGGTAGGACTTCCGTGTCGAATGAATGCTTTCTCGTACTCGTAGGGTATTGGTATTTCACGTTGTTAGTGAGTGTCTTGACTGAATAGCCCTCCGGAGGCCATGTGGGATTTCTCTCTTCTCCCCAAAGAGTTGGCTCCGGGCGATTCTTCCGTGCAGCGCTTGGATCTGGCTATGCACACCGCTAGCTGTGGTTCAAACGTTGGCGTTGCAGGTGTGGTGGCGGAGTCGAGCGCCCTGTGAAGGCGAGTTTCATTTGTGACGAACGTCTATGCCGATCAAAAAGATTGCTGTTCGTGAAGAAGCACACATCGCAAAATAATGTGTAAAGGACGGTGATTGACAATGTGAAGGGCAGTGCTTGCCCAGATCTGATGTGGGCGATGATGGGGGAATGAGATGGAACGAGACGGCGGCGAGAGAGAGGGGGAGCACTATAGGTGTCAACGAGGCTCATCCTGGCATTGAGGAAGAAAACACGCAGAGAGCAGAATACCTTTCCGGCATCTTGCAGACCAATTCTAGCCGAATGTGTACGAATGGTACTACCGTGATTCCTGATCGGTATGAACTATGTACTTGCTTGCGCACGTTGTACACAATTGTTCGAGGAGCATTCCTAGAATGACCTACTGTAGAAATGGCAGTCGAATTTGTATGGCTCGGTACACTCTGGAGCAGTCTGGGGGCACACGCTGTTCCCTCTTTGAGCTTGTCTTGGATTCAACAAGCTAAAAATGATGGGTCACACTTTTCTGTTCATAGTTATGTAAATACTGGTATTTCTAATGTGAAACGTCCAGCAACGATTGGTAACGAGGGGTTCCAAACGGAACGAAATATTCTTGCCGATTCACGGCGAACCCCTGATCACACAGGCATTTTGTACGAAGACAATGCTACGTCTTTATGATTCACTCGTTCTTCAATGGCACCATATTGCTCTCCATAGGTCAAGCAGCTTACGCACATGCGGAGTGAAATATATGTACTGAACCACAGTCTAACAACATATTCGCCTGATTGAGAGCGAAGTATCTGATTGAGAGCGAGAGCCAAAAAAATTGAAATTTCGGGTCCAGACGCCTCTTGCCATTTCTTGGCAAGTAGGGGACGGGCTATTCCAAGAAGCGGTGCAAATTGAAGGTCTCATCAGCAGCTTCGCGAGCATATGCGTGTCATCGTCATCGGATGCTGCAGCGAGGAGCTAGACAAGTTGCTAGATTTGCCCAGATTGGCTATTTCTGCTCAAACTGTTTCAGGGCGGTATCGCGTCGGGCGGTGGGCTCTGCTGTAGCTTCTGCTCCCCGCTGTAGCTCCACAACGAGAGACTCCCACAGGATGACCAGGGTAGCGGCTTGAAGCTACGGGCTAGCCCTTCAATTCAAGCTACACAGCAAGCTCCACCTCTCAGTGGTTTTCCGGCTACAGCGTATCGCGCAATCTCGCTCTCAATCAGATGCTACGCTCTCAATCAGGCGAATATACAGGCAGGACGGACAAGAAGGCCTTCAGCTCACAATAATACCACTCAACAGCTGTCAGGTCAGTTTGATCTTTAACATTATACGATCGTCTCTCGCTGGCTCTAGAATATATCTGATAACCCAACGCCTGACCGTCCGCAGTGCCGGTTCTTGTGCCGCCCGTGTGATCTATGTTGGACATTGCCAGCGTTTCGCAACCAAACAAACATACACACTTTGGTGTATATGGCATGCGCACGCCCAGCGAGGAGGTTTGACGAATATTTCACTCGTCACATGTTCGTGCCACGATCGCTGGCTGTCCTTGTCAAAGATATGGATGTCACCACACTCCGAAGAAAATGCTCGTCCCCGACTTCCTCCTCCCTCGAGCATCCACTGCTGCGCTGTTATTCTTTGTTGGGGCCCCGCGCCACATGCGGGTTGGTGAGTTCTAGGCATGTCGCTATTCTCATTTGCCACGACCAAGTACCTCCATTCCCGCCTGATACTTCCTCTAGTTGCCGACCAATCATATCCCCCCACCATCGCCCAATTGGTGTGCAGTTTGTAGGTGGAAGTGAAGAATCGTTCATTCCTAGAAGGTACCCGGTTTGAAAGTCCTCGAAAACTGATCTCGGTGTTTTAAACGTTCCATGTTCTTTGCCGGCGGGTTTCACATCCTTCTCGAATATGCGGCCGAGGGGAAAAAGTGGCAATGAACGACACGAAGAAAAACATTTGACGAAGTTGGTTCCAATTTGCTGACTGAGTCGGAGTTTGGATTTATATTTTCAAAACTATTGACACTGTGCAGTACTCACAGGATGTTGCGCGATACTTGACTTGATTTTTGAGTTAGCGCACGTGGGATGATTTTTTTTTTTGGCCGCGCAACAAGCGGACCCTTGTCTTCACTTGTCTTCACCATATATCATCCTGGGACAAAATGGCACACTGTCACCTCAAGCGGTGGTAGCCGTAGACAAACTCAGTTCTTCCAGGCGGGAAGAACGAACATCACGGTAAGTTTTAGACTATAGACTATTCCGAGGTCATTCTGTCGCAATTCTTAATAAACGAGTATAGGTGAAGTTTTTTCTTCGTATTTTTTTCTTTCGCACGCTGTACACCCTTCCTTGTGTGAGACTGAATACGACAGCCTTTTGGGCAACCCCCGACCGGCAGAACGTGTGACCCCCGGAATATACATAGATGTACTCTCACACGAGCAATGATAGTGATCAGATAAGTGTGATGAGGAATTCTAGACATACATGCGGTATCTTGAGCAGCGCACGATTACCTACTAGTCTACACAGAGCGGCAACCAACGTTGAGTTCTAAAGGCCGCCGTACGGCACACACACACACACACATGTAGACAGTTCATGTAGACAAGACAGAGACCAAGACAGCAGTCGAGAAGGGAATCATGGCGTGGAAGAGAGCAAGAGCTTCGAGCCAGAGGACCTCCCGCACAACAAAAGACGGAGGGACAGACAAGAAGAAGAGCTGCCAAAAAGTTGCTGCCAAAATGACGATGAGAATAGTGATGGTAGTAGTGGTGAAAGCAAGAAGAATGATAGAGAGAGCACTCCTAAACGAAGTCGAGTGCAGGGTGACAGTCTTAGTAGACACGTGCAGTTTTCTTCTGTTATTACTACGGTATCTGTCTTTAATCCTGAGAATAGCGTAGCTCCCCCTACGACGCTCGGTCCCGGGGTCCCAGATAGTGGACTGTAGAAACATTTTGTGTTTCCCGCCGCACTGAGACTGACGTCTTTTCATTGGTCAGCCGGTTAGCGCGGTCGATGCTAATAATAAAAGCACAAACATGTATTGTGGCGCGTGTACAAGGCAGATCAGGATAGACCTTAGTTTAAGCACGTCTCACATGTATTATTAGGGTTCGGATGTTTTGTCGCGCGTTGGCGAGTTCGCGAGTCTGTTGTTGTTGTTGTTGTTGTTGTTGTTTTCTTCACATTACACTCGTCGTGTCAGTTGCTAATCCCAAAACCTAGCAAAGACTCGGTCCGTGGTCACAAAAAAGCTAGAGCCATCAGAAGATCTAAACGACACACACACTCTTAGCAAGAAAAGAATACACAAGTCCGAGGAGGTACACCTACAATCCCTGCAGCCCGTTTGCGTGCTCACAACTGAACTCCACGCCCACACACTACAAATCGACTACAGCAGCAGCATCACCCCTTGTCCCGCATTTCACCAACATGAATGTTTGTCGACTACAGCGTACTGCTGTCTGAAGTGCTGTCTGTACAATAATAACACCATATACTTGAAGCGTTTACATATACTTCCCTCGGGGCCGCAACGAGGACAACGGGTGGGACCGGTTGGTCCAGAGATACCGCTCTACATTTTACGCCCATGGAATACGGCCGTATCAGGTGCTATTGCGGCTCCCCCGGGGCAGAATCTACATTGCGCCACACGTACAGGAATACCTGGTGCACCTGGACCAGGAGTGCGAATCGCATCTCACATTATACACCGTAGCAGTACAGAACGCCCTACGCAACCCCGGCCAACCTCTGCCGCCATTCCCGCGGGTAGCGGGGGTGGCCCGGCGCCACGACGACTGGGATGAACACCATGTCCCACCCCACCAAGGAGGCGAAACTAGCAGAAACACAGTGACCCCGACTGTCGTGGCCCCACGAAGGGTGACGGGAGTTGGCATCGACCCGGGCTTTGACATGGGAAGCGGCCCAGAGGAGGAAGGAGGATTGTTGTCCCCGAGAAACCCATCCACAACAGCACACGCCACCAGTCGGACGAGCCCTCAAGTAAGACCCGGGGAAAGAAGCCAATCACTAGGAACGCCAAGGCGGCGCAGACCATCTGCTCGCGAGGGTAGCGGATTATCGGATGACGCTACTACATCGGGTGAACGTCAACGAACTTCCTCGGAACCACCTCAAGGCGGAAACAGGCGACGCCGGCAGGGAAGTGAACCGGATCCAGACGGTGAGTCGCGAGAAAGAGGAACGCCATCACATCCGGCACGA